TCACGTCTTTATTCAGACAGAGGTTAGACACTCACTCTAAGGTGAGCACTGTCCAGTACACATACCGTTTGGTGGCAGCCCTGTCAGAACACCATATGACAAGCATTTTTTTTTTTAGAGAGGTTTTTGCTAAGGGGTGCGTACACTCACCAGAGAGACAGTGAAACACAGAGAGACAGAAAGCAAGAAATCACCCCCTAGGGGGGATGGCTACGCCACAATCCCTTCTCCATTCTCCTCTCAGAATCTTGAGCATGCATGCACGCACACACACACACACACACACACCCGCTATGAGTTTTAAGTCAATGAGTACAGGACTCCAACTGCGGTAAACTCTGTGGGAGTCCAGCAACGTAACCAATACACCATCTGCTGGTCCCGCATCATCCCTATTTTCTACATGCTACAACAAAACTAGACTGATTAAGTAAGCACAAGTCACTGCTACATAGGGCTACCACCAAACCGTGTGTGTACTGGACAGTGCTCACCTTAGAGTGAGTGTCTAACCTCTATCTGAAAAAGGACGTGACTTGGTCTTTCCCAAGACTAAGCTGCAAGTGGCAAAACCAGGAATTTCCCAATCTCTACTCTAGGGCTTCAGAACATTCAGGTCTCAACAATGGTTACTGATTCTGCTTCATTTCACAAATTAATAATGCAAATATGACCACCTCAGGCTCTCTTCGAAGTCCCAAACCCAGTGGCTTGAAAAACAAGCAGGGGGAACCAGCAGTTAGTGTAATGGCTATGTCGCTGGACTCCCATGTAGTCGACCACGGTTTCAGTCCCTGACCCAGTGGCTTAAACTCATGCCAGGCGTGTGTGTGTGCGTGCATGCCCAAGATCCCAAGAGGAGAATGGAGGGGAAGGGATTGCAGTGTGGCCATACCCCTAGGGGGTGATTTCTTGCTTTCTGTCTCTCTGTCTCTCTTTCTGGTGCACGTACATGCCCTATAGCAAAAACCTCTCCGAAAGAAAAAGAAAAGAAAAGAAAGGAAAAACAAGCAGGGCATGCGTGCATGCATTGCCCAAAATTCCAAGAGGAGAATGGAGAAGGAACTGCCGTGTGGCCATTCCCCCAGCGGGTGATTTCTCACTTTCCCTCTCTTTCTATGTCTCCAGCAAGCATATGCACTCTCTAGCAAATTTTCTTTAAAAGAACAGATAAAGGGGCTGGCAGGTGACATGGTGGTTAAGGCACTGGACTCCCACATGGTTGACCATGGTTCAAGTCCTAGACCTGGCAGCTTGTTTCTCACTCCCCTCTTCTCCCCCCAACACACACACACACACACACACTTTGTCCCTCTCTGGTCAAACTAAAGTAAATAAATAAAGTTAAATAAAATAATTCTTTTAAAAAATAGCTAAAAAGAAATGTATTTGTTATTGGGACCAGCAGTTGGCATAACAGCTATGTCACTGGAACTCCCATGTAGTCAACTGCGGTTAGAGTCCCAGACCCAATGGTTTAAACTCACGCTGGGCACATGTGCATGTGTGCCCAAGATCCCAAGAGGAGAGTGGAGGAGAAGGGATTGTGGCATGGACATCCCCCCTGGGGGGGTGATTTCTCACTTTCTGTCTTTTTCTAGTGAGCACACGCACCCTATAGCAAAAGCCTCTCCAAAAGAAAAAATAAGAAATGTATTTGTTACCTTCAGAAGGAGGAACTAACTCCAAACTGACAAGATTTGCAGAAATTCTGATTAAAACCCACATCCTTCTTACATCTCCCAGAATGAGAATTCTTTGTAAGGTCCTCTTCTCAATAAGCAGAAGACTCTTACAAATTTATATCATCTCCTGCTCAAGCCCTGAACCTCCTCAAGCAGCATGACATCACTCAGACCTTCTCATTTCCTTTCCTGTTCAACATACAATCCTCATGAATACCACCTAAGTATAACATAAAAATTCTGACAAACTCCCACAATCTTTTTTTTTTTAGGTTTTTGCCATAGGGTGCATACACTTGCTAGAAAGAGACGGAAAGAGAAAATGAGAAATGCTCCCCTCTCCCCGCCAGGGGAATGGCTATACCACAATCCCTACTCCTCCACTGTCTCTCAGATTTTGATGCGCATGCACCTGGTGTGATTCTCAAGCCACCAGGTCCAAAACTCAAACCACAGTTGACCATATGGGAGTCCCATCCTTGATCAACATGGCACCTGTACCCCATCTTCTGAAAAGAAACCCAAAATGTAAGCCGAAAAGGGATAAGGGCCAGCAGATGGCATAGCAGTTATGTTAGTTACAGGACTCCCAGATGGACATGGACTATGGTTCAAGTCCCGAATCCAGAGCCTTGAAACTCATACCAGGTGTGTGTGCATGCGTGCCCAAGATCCCACGAGGAAAATGGAGAAGGGACTGCAGTGTGGCCATCCCCGGGGGGGGGGGTGAAACCTCTCTCTCTCTCTCTCTCTCTCTCTCTCTCTCGCACATGCCCCCTAAGGCAAAAACCTCTAATAAATAAATAAATAAATTTTTTTAAAAGACAAAAAGGGTTCAAAAAAACTCCATGATAGTTCCTGCCTGAGAGGCTCTGTATCATTTAGAAAAAAATGCACGTCCTGATACTTCTCGTAAACAAAATAAAGTTCTATTTCCCAGGATTTTTTCCCCATATGCCCTCACTCAGAGCTATTGCCAAGACATTAAGTACACCAGGTCTTACTTCCAGCTCCTTCTAACATCTCACAGGCAACGATCTCAGCCTATCAGACTCTCCCTTACATTTCCTTTCACAGTCACTCCAACCTTTACAAATCAGCTCCAGTGTTTCTAATTCATATCCTGGTCAATAAAATCGCCATCCACCCAGTCTCAAGGTAGAAATCTTGGCCCACTCTCTTCCTAAACAATCACCAAATCGTGCTGCATTTGTCTCAGACATATTCCCAAAATTTGTTCCCCTCTTTATCCACGTAATCACAACTCAGTCAGATTTTTGGTCAACTGCATTCACTCTAAGCAGTCTCACTGCTTGATGTCCATTTTAATTGAAGGCGTTTTTTATTTATTTTATATACGAATAGCCCGCATGATTTCGTTCACTGGGTGGATATTATGGACAATCCATTCAGGGAAGATCACTTAGTCCAACTCGATGAAGCCTATGTCCTTCACTGACGGAAACACCAGCAGCACATGCTAAGGCAGGATTTCCGGATCAGACCGTGCAGGTTGGAGCACACACGGCAAGAGCGAGAGCCCTGGCCCGAATTTTCGCAGGTGGCTCCAGTAGAGCTGCTGATGACCCACCCTGCTTTCAGTGGGGCAACGAAGCAAAAGGCATGATTTCATTATTTTAACCTGCCCTTCTCTCACTCCCTAACTTAATGGCTCCACTTTCCTCAGTCCCATCTCCTGGCAGTCCCCCCTACCCCCCCTCAGTCCACATATCCTGTTCTGGAGAAATTTCTGGCACTTAAACACCATGTTATGTTTTTTCACTTGCACTTTCATCATGCCTTTGTGAATGCTACTCAACCTTCAACACCAAACTGAAGTCTTAACTGCTTCCTCCCTGCAAAGATTTCCCTGACCCCCCCAGGAAAGGCAGGTATGCCCTTTACACTGTATAAATGCCTTTTAATAGAGAGGCAACACAGCCCTGTAAAATTCTCACTAAATGAGTCTCTCTGATGTCTGTTAAGACAGATAACTCCTATTTCTAACCTCAGTACCAGCTACATACTAAGTGCTCAGTAAATGTGTGTTGGATACACAGTGCAAGTGCACCCTCATGTCTCTGGAATCAATTTTTTTGATTTGGTTATTTTCCCCAAATGTTCTGGATTCCTAAACTAAGCTTCATATGAAATTTCAAACTTCCTAACAACTGCTGGGGGGTGGGGGTGGGGTTCAAGTTTGTTTCTGTAACTACACAAACATCAAAAAAGTGAATAAATTACGCCTAAAAGTCCAATGAAAATCTTTAAAATCCCAAAGATGGGAACTTCCCCTTCACAAGCCTAACAAAAGGGTTCTACTTTTCCCTAAAACCAGAAAGGTACGGTGAAGGCTTCCTATAGAAACCTCCGTGCACATAAATCTAACAGAAGCACACCCAGAAGAATTCCGATTAACTTGTGCTAGGTGAACGGCAGGGACACACCATATTGGCCCTGGCTTACAGAGCAAGCGAGAGTTCCGGATGGCAAAGAAACAGCTCTCACTGATCTCAAAACTTTTTTCGGGAAAGGAAGCCTTGGTGAGGGTCTAACGGTCCAGAAACGTTTGTTCGGGCCTGGCCCGAGTCTCGACCTCCCCGCTGGCCAGCGGCAGCCCCCCTCGGCTTCCCCAGGAACCAGTTCCCCCTCTTATTCCGTCTCCACTCCTGCCTGAGTACAGGATCATTTCTCGGGTTCACACCAGGTAACCCCAGAAAGCAGTTCGCTTCCCTGATTCTCTGCGCCGGGTGGACCGCAGCCTGCGGGCGGGACACAGAAGATGGACAGGCTGGGGGCGCTCCCGGGACACCTGAGGACTTCGCACAGACCCGCCTCCCTCCGGCTCTCCCCGAGGTCTCGGCCCACGCCCAGGCCCCAGGGCGGAGGAAAACCCGAGCGGAGGGGCTCGCGAGGAAACGGGAGGGGCCGGGGCCGGCCCCGCGCTGGGTCAAAGGTTAGCCTCACTGCCCGGAGGCCCGGGGAGACTCCGGGGGGAGCAGGGACGTGGCCCGCACCAGGTAGTCCGAGAGGCAGGCGGCGGGAGGAGCACAGCCGCCCCTCGCTCG